TTCTGAAATTTGCACTTTGACCTACTAAAATTGAATGAGCTATAAAACTGCGTAACCGAATTCTTTTTTTAAACTCTGAATAAAAAGTTTGAAATTTTTGGGGGATTTCGGTAAAATTTGTTGAATTTTTATAATTTTTGTACAAAGTTTGAAATGTGGATTTATATGGTGTGTGTTATATAATGCGCTAGGCTTTTATAAAAAAATATTAAACATTAAATAAACAAAAGTAATATAACCAAAACTGGTCAAAATAAAATGTTTCTATCATTGCTTCCACCACTGTATATATATTTTTTGTTTGTAATGAAATACATTTTAATTTTTTTTTATAGAAATATAGGTCTTTATAAAAATTAACGTTTTTCGGATTCCAATGTTTTAAAAACACTGGATTTTAATAAACACTGAAACAAATATATTGATGTACATACAATTATTAAAAAGTTTGAATGGATTATGAAACTTTTATTTATATGGTTAAAAATTGGACAATATTTTTATAGAAAAATAACAAGCATTTAACTTGAAAAAATTGTGAACATTTAACAAAATCCGCAAGTTAATATTTGTTTGAGTCACTGTATGTTTCAAAAAAGGAAAAATGATGGAATAGTATGTATGTGCATACAGTGGTCGTAAAAATTATTGCCGCACCACATAATGATAAGTTTTAGCAATTTATTTATTTTTTGTTATTTTTTAATTAGATTTCTTAGAAAGATTTTGAGTATGTAGCTTTGTGCCCCATTGAATTCTAGTAGAACAAAAAGCAGGTGTTAAATGGCTAAAAATTAGCGTTACTTTTTTAGATTTTTTGTTTGCGCAATTTGCTTCCATATAACGAATAAACAGTTTTTATCAAACATAATTTATTTTTATATTAAATCAAATCAAATCAAATACTAAATATTAAGTATATATCGATGGCTGAGTGGAAGATCGGCATATCTCGGCAGCCAGTTCAAAAATGCCCTATCACAGAAAACTTTTCAAGAACGCCCTACTTAGAATTTGATTGAAAACGCCCTATCTCAGAATTTGGTTGAAGAACGACCTATCTCAGTTGCCGATTCAAAAACGCCCTATCTTCAATGTATTTTCGTTTCAGATAGGGCGTTTTTGAACCGAATTCTGAGATAGGGTGTTTTTCCATCAAATTCTGAAATAGAGCGTTCTTGGAAAGTTTTCTGAGATAGGGCGTTTTTGAACTGGCTGCCGAGATATGCCGATCTTCCACTGAACCATCGATATGTAAATAAGTAAGTAAATAGTGTAAGTATAACGACAAAAATTGTAGGTATACAATTATAGGGATTAGGAGAAAGTAAGTATGAACATACATATGTATGTATATATAAAATAGGAGAGTGAAGGTGAGAAAGGTAAGTTAATGTGTTTTTGTATGTAAATATATGTTTATGCTATTTTTAGTTCTAGTTAAATGATGAATAGTTTATCATCTGCTTCGAGAGCAACAATTATAGCATGTCCATTATATCCTGGAAGAAAGCAGAAATATATTTCATTCTTGGCTATATAAGCTAAATTGTTGACAAACCTTGAAAAATAATCTCTGATAAGATTTGATCTCACAACATTATTTTCTTGCCTTTCATTGGCTATTTCCTCCGCATCAATGATAGGGGCGGTAGTCTCAGGAACGTTGAGACTTTCCTCTTCAAATTGGTATGTGTCCTTGTTCTGACGGGCAATGTTGTGAAGTACTCCGCAGGCGACAATGATGTTCATTATTGTGCCTTGGGAAAGCCTTAATCCAAGCGAGAGCACCGGAAAGCGGCGCTTCCAAACACCAAAACATCTCTCAATGCAATTTCGAGTACGAATCTGCGACTCGTTGTACAAAGTTTCTGCACGAGCACTGGGATGTAAAAGCGGGGTCATCATATATTTGTTGACACTGTATCCACTGTCGCCCAGTAAAAAACATTCTTTGAATTCATTTTGCTCAAAACGATGCTTCAATCGACTGTTGTTGAATATATTGCTGTCATGTGCAGAACCAGGCCACCGGCATACGAGGTCTGTTATTATTAAGTTTGCGTTACACACAGCTTGTACGTTGAATGAAAAGTACCCTTTCCTATTTCTAAATATTTCAGCGTTTTCTCCACCAGGTGACTGGATCCGCACATGTGTGCAGTCGATACATCCAATAACCTTTGGGAATTTTGCTATTTGGTGAAAGCTGGTATTTGCATTTTCGATTTCCGTGCTTGTATTTGGCATCTTAATAAAGTCCTTGGAAATACTTGCGATGGCATTGGACACTTTATTAACTACACGACTTGCAGTGGCTACGCTGACTCCGCAAAAATCAGCAATAGAAATTAAAAAGCTCCCAGATGCATAGAAGCGTAATGCCAATAATAACATTTCGGTAGGACTAAGCGGGCAGTTCCTGTGGAATCAATTGAATCAATAATAGAATTTAAA